TATATATGTTTATGCGAGAGGTTTTTTTAAAAAAAAATTGATAAAAAAATTTGACAAAATGATTCACTGGATAGACCGATTAAAATATAAAGAATTGACATTGTTATTTGTAAAAATAATTATCAAGCAATAAAATAAAATAAATACAAATATTGAAAGACAAACACGTATATACATACATAGAGAGAGAGACAAATAGTGTTAATAAGGTACAAGGTATAGACCAAATGATAAATAAGATTTGAATTAAAAAAAAAATAGATTAAATTGTTTTAACTTATTAATAAAGGCTAAAAAAAGCAACCACTGTGTCTTTTTTTTAAAACGGACCATGTTCTAAACATAACAAACCAATTTTTCTAATGCATTTAAAAAAAAACATGAACACTAATTTTATCAAGATATATTATTGGGTGACTCAAGGCTTTATGGCAGGAGACACACATTTTTACTCGAATCTATTAATTATGTAGTTTGGATTGTACAATTTTTTTAAAAAAACTATGGACTAGCACATAAAAAACAAAAGAAATTACATAATTAAATTTATAGACAAATTGAATAGATACAATATAAACCCTTGAGTTTGCGAGTGTTGCTTAGATCTATTTATCTATCTAATGTATGAGATTTTTTTAAAAACAACTTAAGCAAAAAATAATATAGAATATAATTACTGTTACTTTTCAAAATACAAAAATATTTAGAAATATAGCCAAAAAATGTGGAAAATTATTATGAAGACGTTGATTCAGTTATGGATGGTCGTGATGATATCTTAGTTTGTAGAACAAAAGATTTACAAATATAGCATTTAAGCATCAACGAGTACCACGCTTGAAAAAAAAAAAAAAAAAAAAACTGTTACAATACGCAAGAAAAACAAAACCAAAAAATAAAACACACACAAAAAAAAAAAAAAAAAAACCAGGGAAGCCGCAATTGTATTGGAGATGTTTGTCTCTTTATTTTGAACGATACGATTTTATTATTATATTTATTCCAGGTAATAGACAACCATAAATCTTAAACCGGGAGTATTTAGTGTGTTTTGACTTAGACATATGTAATAAAAAATTATTCAAATTAAAAGTAATTTTACGTATAAGTTTAGAATTCAACATAGTCTGATTACGACATGATCGAATATGTAGATGGAAGAAGAGTGTTCGGAAACAGAACAGGAAGATATTAAAATCCTTAAAAAAAAAAAATTCAATTTCAATGATCTAAGTATCCAATTATTGCCACAATTTTGTTGTTATTGTTGTTTTTTTTTGGGTCTTAACTTTCAATGAGCCGAGAGATGACGACGTGTTAAAAAGGCCTAAAACCAGACAGAGCATAAGATCCCAAGCCGTACTTGATAAGGCCACTAAATAAAATAGGCAAGACTCTACATTGGATGTAACTTTCTGGTCAAGATCAGCAGAAGCAATCCCATCAAAGATAATTAAAAAAAAAAAAAAATCTCTATCGTGCAGAGTAAATTATAAATTACTCTCTCAAGTTTAGAGAAACGAATTAATTAATCTATATATATTTAATTTTTATTTTAACTTTTTAGTTTCTTTTTTAATTTATTTTTATTTTTTGTTTTAAAGAATAGAAAAAAAAGAAGAATTGATCAGAAAATACGATATTTAATAAAATAAATAATTAGTTTTTAAAATAACGATAAATATATCAATATGTTTTCATACAATACCCAAAATCTCTTGTTTATCTCTAGATTTTTTATTGCATCTCATATGTTCTAATTTTTTTTTTCTGAGATATTCATTGTTTCCTTTCTATCAAATTCCCTAACCATAAAATTTTTTAACCGAAATGCATTTTAATAAAATATTAAAAAAAATTAAAATCATATGACTTGCATTATCTATTTTTGAAGTCTTTGTTTGTTTTTTATTTTTTTACATCTCATTATTTTTCATTACACATGTCTCCTATTTTTTTTCAATCATTTTCTAGTTTTGAGTTTTTAATTTTTTTTATTATTATTATTTTGCATTTCAATAGAGGCATTAAAAAAAATTATGATAAAAAGAATTGATAGAAAAGATAAATTGAATATTTTAATTTTTTTTAAATAAATGAGATGCAATTGAAAAATTAAGAATAAATAGAAGATTTTAGATATTATGCAAGCACAAATCTATCTATTTACCCTTAAAACAAAGAAGCTAATTAATTAGTTTTTCGAAAACAGAAGAAGGATTAATTTACGTCTATGTATAGGCCGAGGAAAGACTTGGTGCCAACAGCCCAATTAGTGTTTTGAAGCCCAAGAAAATCTCATCGATCAATAATAACCTATCTTCTATTCATGCACCTACACATGATTCTATGTGCACGTTTGAACCTAGAAAAGACAAAGCCCAATAGTCCAGGTGTTTTGAAGCATTTTAACTTCAGCTTTTTTTCATTTTTATTTCTTTCGCAGTGGCATTTGCTGGTAAACCAACGTCATAGAAATCCTTTTTCAATTAAATTGGGTCATGGATAAGTACTAGAAGACGATACAAAAGTGTGCAATCAGTTCATTTAAAACTCTTTAAGATGAGTTATATTTTAATGATATATATATTGAACTTTTTGTTAAAAAAATATATATATATACAGGGTCACCAAAGATAAATTCAAACTCTATAAGGACTGAAGTGAAATATTACTAAAATATGATTTACCCAATAAGCTATTTTAATTAATTAAGAGTATTAATAGTTTCTGGGTGTTTGTTTTTAAATGGCTTCTGATTTTTTTATGCACACATTTTCATTAATTAAATAAAGAAAGTGTTTGATTAATATTGGATAGAAGTTGACACTGTTAAAAATAATTTAATTTAATTTATTAGAAACAATGTCAAAGTTGCAGATAACCTATACCGTACTTTGATAAAGCTTATCTAAATTCTAACTAGAAAAATGATCGTAAAAATTGAATTTATATCGTTAAAGAGTTCTATTTTTATAAGTTTACTTTTTCAATCGAAGTTCTTTCTGCTATAATTGTTTATATTCCATAGCATGACCAGTACCACACATTTTTTTTTTTTTTTTTTTTGGGGTCTTAACTTTCAATAGGCCAAGAGATTGCGACGTGATAAAAAGACCCAACCACGCAAAGTATAAGATCCCAAGCCGTACTTGATTAGGCCTCTAAATAAAATAGGAAATTGGCTAGCCCAGGCAAGACTGTACATTGGATAGAACTTTCTGATCCAGATCAGCGGAAGCAATGCCAAAACACTATTGTAATCTTAAAAAAAATAATAAAAAAATCTCTATCATGCATAATAAATTATAAATTAGTCCCTCAAGTTTTGAGAGATGAATTAATTAATCTCTGTATTTCTAATTTTTATCTTAACTTATTTTTCTTTTTTCAATTTATTTTATTTTATTTTTTAAAAATAGAAAAGAGCAAAAAATATAAAAGAATTATCAGAAAAGATGATATTTTTTAAGTAAAAAAATATTGAATTAAGTATAGTCAATATCGGTTAATAAAATAAATAATTAGTTTATAAAATAACGATGAATAGATCAATATGTTTTTATATAATACCTTAAGTCTCTTGTTTGTCTCTACATTTTTTATTGCAACTTGTATGTTCTTGATTTTTTTTTTTAGAGATATTCAATATGTCCTTCCTATCAAAATCTCCGACCATAAAATTGTTTAACTGAAATAAATTTTAATAAAATACCAAAAAAATTAAAAATTAAAATCATATGAGTTGCATTTTCTATTTTTGAAGTCTTTATTTATTTTTTATTTTTTTACATCTCAATCATTTTTTATTACATATGTCTCCTATTTTTTCAATCATTTTCTATTTTTGAAGTTTTTAAATTTATTTATTTATTATTATTATTATTATTTTGAATTTCAATAGAGGCATTTCAAGCAAAAAAAAAATTATGATAGAAAAGACAAATTAAATATATATATTTTTTAAAAAAAAGATGAGATGCAGTTGAAAATTAAGAATACATAAAAGAATTTAGATATCATATAAAGAAGAATCAATCTATTTACCGTTAAAACAAAGAAAACTAATTAATTAGTTTTTCAAAAATAGAAGAAGGACTAATTTATTATGCATTTATGTCTATGTATGGGCCGAGAAAAGACTTGGTGCCAATAGCCCAATTAGTGTTTTGAAGCCCAAGAAAATCTCATCAATCGATCAATAATAATCTATCTTCTACACATGAACCTACGTATGATTCTATATGCAAGTTTGAACCTAGAAAAGACTAGGCCCATCAGTCCAAGTGTTTGAAGCATTTTAACTTCAGCTTTTTTTTTTTTTTTTAAAATTTCTTTCGCAGTAGTATTTGCTGGCAAGCCAACGTCATAGAAATCCTCTATCAATTAAATTGGCTCATGAATAAATACTAGAAGACGATACGAAAGTGTGCAATCAGTTCATTTAAAACTTTTTAAGATGAATTGTATTTTAATGATATTTATTGAACTTAAAAAAAAAAATACAGGGTCACCAAAGACAAACTTCAAACTCTATAAGGACTGAAGTGAAATATTACTAAAATATGATTTACCAAGTAAGCTATTTTAAATAATTAAGAGCATTAATGCTTTAGATATGAAATTTAATTCACGAGTAGTAGGGTTTGTAACCAATTCCAACTTTCTGGGTGTTTGTTTTTAAATGGCTTCTGATTTTTTTTATACACACATTTTCATTAATTAAATAAAGAAAGAGTTTGATTAATATTGGATAGAAATTGAAACAGTTAAAAAATAATTTAATTTAATTTATTAGAAACAATGTCAAAGTTGCGGATAACCTATACTGTACCTTGATAAAGCTTATCTAAATTCTAGCTAGAAAAATGATCGTAAAAATTGAATTTATATCGTTAAAGAGTTCTATTTTTATAAGTCTACTTTTTCAATCTAAGTTCTTTTTGCTATAATTGTTTGTATTCCATGGCATAATCAGAAAACAAAAGAGAACGTAAAAAATGAATCCTTTCAGTCTTTTTTTCTATCTTTCCATACTCGTTGCGTTTGTAGATGGCAAATCAATTTCCCACGATTGGACTGTTTCCTTTTCCCAACGTGCTCCTCTTGCTCTTAATAAACAGGTTCTTAAATCTTTTCTTGCATCACTTATATATTGTTTTTAGTATAAAATTGTTTCCCTTGTTAGTGTTTTTTTTTCTTTTGTCATAGGTGATTGTGATCAATGATCAATTTCCTGGACCATTGTTGAATGCAACAACGAATGATGTTTTAAATATTAATATTCATAACAACTTGACAGAACCATTTCTTATGACATGGTATATTTTCACAAATTTTTAGACTACCTATCGTTTTTTTTTTGTTTTTTTTTTCAATGAGAAAGGAAAAGGCTACGTGAGATTGCTTAAATCTAATGTAGGAATGGACTGCAAATGAGGAGGAATTCATGGCAAGATGGAGTGCAAGAGACTAATTGCCCAATACTGCCTGGTCAAAACTGGACATACAGTTTTCAAGTGAAGGATCAAATCGGAAGTTTCTTTTATTTTCCATCACTTCTTGTACAAAAGGCTGCTGGTGGATACGGTCCCATTAGAGTGAATAATCGCGAGGTTATTCCTATTCCATTTCTAAAACCAGATGGCGACATTGATGTTCTTATTGGAGATTGGTATGATGCAGATCACCGGGTATGATTTCCAGAGACCAATCACATTTTTTATTTTCTGATATATGAATTGCTAAAACTTCTGTGATTATCTTTATTTTTATAAATAAAGAGTGGCATTTTAAGATGATGGGTTGCTAATTGAGAGAAAATTTCATATTATAGGATTTGAGGGCTGCACTTGATGATGGGGCTGGACTTGGGAAGCCCAATGGAATTCTTATCAACGGACTCGGTCCTAATCAGACAATTTTTGAATTTGAGCCAGGTGAATTCGTGTATACTTGATGCTTAGTTAATGTTGTTGTCAAATGTTTTTTCTCTTTAGCCAACTAATTCTGTCGCTGTAATTTTCTAGCTGCCATTGTAATTGAAAATTGATTTCAAAACCATGCAATGGATCTTATAGGGCCAAGCCTAAATTTTCATGTTGATTGTCCTAGTTCAAGCCACCTCAAGTATTTTAGGGCCAAGCATTGAACCTTGTGAAACTGATGCACATAGAAAAAGGGTTCTCTTTATTCTTTAGTTTCATTTTTTCCCTGAGCTAATCAAGTGGCATTTTAATCACCCAAGTTACTAAGTTGGTTACGCCTAAGTATTAAATCAAGTTCTTCGTTTTGGCACTAGTCTTCCTTATTATTATTTTCTTGTGCAATTGGCGTTGGGTACTTCAGTTATAAACTATGAATTCTGAGGAAGAATTTAGTTGATTATGATCTTGCTGTATTCCAGGGGCTACCTACAGGCTAAGAATTTCAAATGTGGGCTTGAAAACTTCATTGAACTTCAGGATTCAAGACCATTTGATGTTGTTAGTGGAGACAGAAGGGTCTTACACTGTACAACAAAGTTACACAAGTCTGGACATCCATGTTGGCCAATCTTACTCGGTGCTAGTCACAGCGAAGAATCAAAGTGGTGGCAGGTCCTACTACATGGTTGCAAGTTCCCGCTTAACAGACGCTGAACTTTTTGGAGTTGGTGTCATTCGTTATCCAGACTCTGTGGATCTTCCATCCGGTCCACTTCCCTTAGGACCAGAGCTACATGACTATTTTTTCTCCATAGAACAAGCTCGTTCGATAAGGTATGTGTTGCTAGTCCTTAGGAGATAACGAGGAAAAATATTGCTAACCAATGGTTATCAAATTGTCAATTTGGTGTTTGATCAGGTGGAACTTGACAGCGGGAGCTGCTAGGCCGAATCCTCAAGGTTCCTATCACTATGGCACCATTGATGTATCTCGGACAATAGTCCTCCAGAATGGAGAGATTGACATAAATAGACACCTTTACACCGTAAATGGGGTGTCATTTGTGCACTCAGGGATACCATTAAAGATGGCAGACTATTTCCGGCTAGATGCATCCAATACTGGAATTGTTCCAGATAGACCTATTGACAGTGGTATCTGGACATTGGGTACTTCAGTTATCAATGCAAATTACCGAGAGTTTTATCATTTGGTGTTCGAAAACCCTTCTCCGTCTTTGCAAACATGGCACCTTGATGGCTACAACTTCTTTGTTGTTGGGTGAGGCTAGCTTCTCCAAAAATTTCATGCTCCATTTTTAACTAGCATTTCAAAGAAAATGAGATCCCATTTCCCATGTCAATTATTAGTGGGATTTGGTGAGTTGATTCATAAACTTCTTTACTAAAATTTGTGAATGCTAATTGCAGCATGGACTTTGGGACATCATCGTGGGAAGAGGATATGAAGGCAACATATAACTTGAACGATGCTGTTTCTCGTTCTACAGTTGAGGTTTGTTGACTTGAATATAACTGATCAATGAATTATCTCTCAAGGGAATGTGAAGTGATATGCCTAACAATCTTTACATATTTGTGACCACTTGATAGGTTTATCCATTCGGATGGACGGCAGTGATGGTTATGCTGGACAATCAAGGCTTGTGGAATCTAAGATCACAGGATGTGGAGAAATGGTATCTGGGACAAGAGCTATACTTGCGAGTCAGAAGCATTGGAGAGGAGGATCCATCAACCATTCCTGTTAGAGATGAAGTTCCAATTCCTGAAAATGCTATATTATGCGGAAGAATTACTGGTGGATAGCAAATGTTACTTGAGACATATTTCCAGTTTGAATGGCTAAAAGCCTGAAACTCCTAGTCTTAGTAGATAGAGACAAATGTCTCATTAGTTATAGCAAACTCGTGATCGATTATGCAAAATGCGCAGTCTTCAATGTTTAAGTTAGGAAATCAAAATTTTGAGCTCCTTAATATAAATCTATGTTTGAAAAAGGCCTTTTTATGATTCAAATGGTCTTTTAAAAGGATATTCATTTCCACTTATAAAAAATGAAACAATGCATTCAATGAGATACAATATAATGCAATATAAATTTTATGTACTTACTTAATATGAGAGAGAGAGATTAAAAAAAAAAAAAAAACAACAACAACAAGAGATAGGGAATTAAGCCTATATCCAGATGTGATTTTTTTTTCTCATTTTTCATATTTAATTCTCTTCAAAATAGATCAATTAATTACTCTTTGATTATTTTAAAATTTGTCAAGAGAAGAAATAGCAATATAATTTGAATGTATAGCCTCATTTTCCTTAGAGAGAATACCATCATGATGATGATATTTGAATCAAAATATAGAAACACAAATAAAAATTATGTCGAAAATATTAAAATAATCAGAATCGAAATATAAACAGACAAATGAAAATTAACTACAAATTATTAAATTCAACACCATAAATGTCTTGGCCACTTTACCTGCAGATGCCTTCATTTTTGGTTAAAATTTATTTCCCACTTTGATCTTTCAAGATGGCAGGAGCCTATACATTTACATAGCAAGCGAGGTGAGAAGGAGAAACTTATGTCGTGGGAAGCGTAGCCCACGGTATCGGCTTAATAAATAATTTTGGGATAACATTGGCACAATCTTGTTAGACGTAATTGCACAAATTAATATGTTAAACATAAACTGGAACCTAATTAGAGATTAATGTTATGTATTTGTGAATATAAGAGTAACTCTTCATTTTTGTAGTGATAACCAATTCAATTTGTCCTAATTATAGGATTATGATTTTTTCTCGTGTCTCCTGTTCTGATAACTACTAACGTCCTTCTTACGTTCTGCTAGCTACTAACACTAACTATCTAACCTTTTTTCCATGCTCCGTTAACTAGCCATGTCTGGCTAATTATTAACACTAGCATTTTAACCTCCTTTTCTTGTTTTGTTAACTACTAACGTCTTTCTTATATCCTATTACTACTAACATTAACCTTTTAATGTTTAATAACTTAATTATATGACCTGTATAGTTATATTTATTTTTTTATGACAAGAAAAAAAATATAGTGTAAGAAATCATTGAGGTGTAATTAAAAATGATAGTAAAATCATAGAGGTCTAATTGTATAACTAAATTAATGTACTTTAGATAAAGTTTAGGATTTTTTCATTTTTTCTTATGCTAGAATATTTTCCTCATTTACCATCAACAATTTCTTAATTAGTTTGATGATATATATATATAATCCTTTAGAGTATTTCGGAGAGTTTTTTACATACATAAAAACTAAAATCCGAGACTCGTTTACTTAACCAACTAAAAACTTTTCCATTCAAATCAATTTTCTTGAATAGTTTGATGATACTAGTTTATTGTTAAAAAAGAATACAAATTACAAGACAAGCAATTTAATAGTAGAATCCATAATTTAATTTCATCTATCATTGTAACTGAAAACCTACCATAATGTCATATTTTTGGAAGAAAGTTTCTTTATGATCTTAATTTCAGGCCGAGCACAAATCAAGATATCGGTTATTGAAACTTGTAGAAAGTTCCATAAACTTATACTAAAATTGCAACACAAGATCAGCTCATCCATAATAACTAAAAATGGCAACTGATACATCCTTCTCAAAAAAAAAAAAAAAAAAAAAAGGGCAACTAAATATACATGTAGCACAAATTAAGGATTAAATTATTATACATGAATCACAAAACAACAATCACTCATGGTCTTATAGGGATAATTGCATTATAATTATAACATTTTTTCAATTGACTGTATGAATTTTTTTATTTTTTGAGTATATGAAAACTTTTAAAACTATCTGTAATCTAATAATGTATCTTTTACTGTATTAAAAAAATGATTTTTTTCCATTTATTTTTGAAGAAAACTTTTTCTAAATTATTTTTTCATTTTCTATTTTTGGGATACTAGGAAAATTTAGAATTTACAATACAAAAAATAAAAAATAGCAAAATAATTTGTGAGCAGAAGTTTCCTTCAAGAATAAAAAGTCAAAATT